TCCCCAAACATGCTGACACTTCCCTCATTTCACTGTGGCCCTGTTTTAGTTAAAATCTTGATAACAGGAACCAAGTTTCCTGTTAAAACTAAATTATGTCAAATATTTTACCAATGTTCTTAAAACAAAACTATGTTTTGCTAGTTTCATCTTGCATACTACTTCCACAATTGAATCTTACTTCTCTTCAACTGAAGAGGATGTGGGCATTCAACACAATAAACTTGGCTATTTTTATCCAAAGTTACTACCAGGCTAAAAGTGTTATGTTCCTTTCCCAACAGATGTTATTTTCAGGACTGTTCTCATTATTCCACTTTTTCAGATGTAGATTTTAATTTTACTGCTAAATAAATGAGTTGCTAGAAAAATCACATCCATAAGAAGCACTATCTGGATTACAATTAGAAAACCTTTCTGTGTAAAACAGCATCGATTTCAGTAACTGCGTATTTAATTGTGAAACAGCTGAGAGTCCATGATACATTGAAATAAGAACAGATATGCTCCAAAAATATTTTAACCGTGCAATTAACTTTAGATGATACTCAAAATCCAGGATCGAGCCACCAGGTGATAATAATATTGTTCCATTTTTTTAATACATCCTTGCTTTCCTAATGAGATATTAATGTATCAACTTGCGAAACTAAAAAAAGAATAGCACTTAGGGTATTCTATTTTTCACCTCGCCTTCTTCGCTGTAATGTGCTGCATATTGGACAGCACATGAAGACAACTTCAAAAGGTGTGGAATGCGGCAGGTGAAATTGTAACAGGTACAGGCAGTTAAAATTATATTGCATTGATTCTAAAACAGCTGCCCTGACTGTCTCTTTGCTTCCAAGCCCAGTGCAAAGGTGCTTACCTTTAAATACTTATTTTGGGAGCAAGACACTTATATAAGTTCCATTTCTTGAACCAGTCCGATGTCATATGAAGATTGGCCAGGTTCTCCAGATACCCCTGGTACATTATGTGACGCGCAACTGCTTGTTTGGTTTTGATGCTCCAGTTGTGGAACGCCTCTCCAGGGAGATACTCTTTTCAGAACTACCAAAATATAAATTTTATTTATAATTAATGTGCAATTATAAAGTCTATATGATAAACTTATTTACAGTATTATATTTATATAAATATAAGTATATATTATAGAATTATAAGCATATACAGCATAGTTGGGGAAGGGGGCAGCAAAAGGCAAGATGGGATAGTGACCACACGATTGTAGCTCCACCTCTTTTATATCTGCATCAAAATGGATGGGCCTCTATCACATAGCTGCAATCCATTTTTGACCCTTCTAGGGTTGCTGCTATATACAAATAGGTACTTATTATTAGCCTGCATTAATCCACTGCATAATAAAGGCCCCTTATCTGAAGGTTATGAATTGGAATATACCATTCTGGTCCAGTGCAAGTTGCTAGGTAGATGTTTTTTGACTTCCCAGGCCTGACCTGAGAGTGTGTGCCTGGGCTAGTCACCCAATCAACTTCTGTACCTAAGGGAGGACTAGAACCTGAATCTCCCCACTCCTAGTCCAGCGTGATATATATGTGTGCGTGCATAAATATTTGTAATATATAGCCCAGAAATATTACATTTGCTGATGCATGTGATGTTATGCTTCTCTTTCTTTCACTTACCATAGCTGTGTTTTATCATTAAATATGTTTTTATTATATATTGTAGCTATATATTTTATAGAGAGCCAGTTGGGTGCAGTGGTTAAGGCACCAGGCTAGAAGCTGGGAGACCATGAGTTCTAGTTCCACCTTGGGCACAAAGCCAGCTGGGTGACCCTGGGCCAGTCACTCCCTCTCAGCCCTAGGAAGCAGGCAGTGTTAAACCATTTCTGAAATCATGCCAAGAAAACTGTAGGGACTTGTCCAGGCAGTCGCCAGGAGTCAAGACTGACTTGAAGGCACTACACACACACACACACAGAGTCCTCGCTTACCGACTGCCTTGTTCAGTGACTGTGCAAAGTTATCAAGTGTTGAAAAAATAACTTTATGACCAATGCCCGCATTCATTACCTCTGCAGCATCCCTCAGTCATGTGATTGCCATTACAGTCCGTACACATTGTCCTGTGCCTGACCTGTTTTGTTTTGTTTTTTCCCCTTTGCGGAGTGGAGAGATTGGAGAGGAAGGGATTACAAGAGAGTAAGGCACACAATGGGGAACACACTGGGCTGTTTTTGTGGTGTGCTTGCGGCTGCCAGTGCCAGCACATTGCTTTCAATGTGTATTCCCCATCGTGTGCCTGCCTGCTCTCTTGTAATCCCTTCCTCTCCAATGAATGTGAACGTAAACATTAATTCCCTTCTTGTTAATTATCCCAGCACCAGAGTGAGCATTCCAAAGGGTGGGGCCATGGGGAAAAAGGAGAGCACAGTTGCGGTCATGTGATTTCCCACTTTCCCCCTTCACTTAGTAATGGAGTTGCCAGTCCCAATTTTAAACAAGGACTACCTGTAATTATGGGGGGGGGGAGGGTAAATTAAATTTTATCGCCCTAGCACTGTAAGGTGAAATATTAAATGTGTGTGTATAACTTGAGCATAAAATATGGCATCAAATTTACATATTCAGTGGCTTAGAATTTTGCAAAAATCCAGAATTTGTATCAATCATCTTAACAAATCTGCAAGTTAATACCCTCCAAACAATCCTTCAGCTATTTTGTCCCAAAGGCATATTAAGTCTAGGCTGTTATATCACACTAGGTCACAATGTGTTTTGTTTGGCTTTGACTTAATCCCACTGTTCTGTAATGCACTGCTAACCAAAATTTAGAGCAGCATACTATTCAAGCAGAGGAAACTATAATTAAATAAATTATGTATAAACATAGTTTAGCATGATGCATGAATCTAGCCTGTTTCTTCATTTGATAAGGCTACTTGTATCTAAGTATATAACAGTGCAAATTTTTATGCCAAATGTTGTTTAAGAATGACAGAATAGAGCAGAAAAAATACAAATGCACCCTCCTGGAAGATTATTTTAACACTTAACAAATTAGTTTGATGTCCAATTATCACATTATCAACTAGACAAAAAAAAATCTTCTAGCCAGTTCTTATACCCTTAACAGCAGCTTCAAAAGCAATTAAAAGCAAACAAATTATCACATCATGATTACCTGATAACATTAGTTACAGATTATTTTACTTGTAAAGAGATTGTTCCAAGTGATGCTCCAATGATTTAAAAGCTGGCAACTGCAAGTTACTTCCCAGGTTATTTATTAAACTTGCATGCTGCCGAACTCACAACAATAAAAGAAATTACAATAAAGTAAATAAAAGATAAAAAAATAAAGATAGATGGTAAGCGCGATGAAATGAGAGGTCTCTCTCTCTCTCTCTCTCTCTCTCCTTTGATATCTCCCCCATTCCACTCCATCTATAGCTTTATTTCAACTTTTGAATGGAAAAATGGCATGCTTAAACAACTCTTTCCAAAAAGAGAACCATATCAGCAGGTCTTGCAAGATGCATGACTTCTCTCCTGGCCCTCTCAGAGGGGCCTGGGACATTTTCAACTTTTGAAAGCCCTAAACCATATTGAAAATGTGGGCAGATAATAGATGAAAGAAATCATCCATGGAAGGCAGGCCGGAGGAATAAGACGTCTCTGCTGTGAAGTTTTCTGCCTCACTGTCAAAATGAGTCTGTCTTGGGTAAAAACACGATTTGTTCCTTGATGGAAAGGGCATCTATGACAGAAACGCTCCAGCCCTTTCACTGGCATGCGTGAGAAGCAGCTATGGGAGTGGAAATCACAGCGCCTTCTCTGGCACCAAAGTGTCCTAAATCTGCCGGGGATCAGTCTAAATTTTGTACGATTAAGTACAGTGACCATACGTCCTTCATTATAAAAGGCAGTCCTTTATTTCAGAAAACTGTCCTTTAGATTTATTTATTTTCTTGCTTTTGCTCTTGAATTTTCCTTTGTAAAGCAAAGTTATAGACAATTACTTTTTTTTTTTTAATCCTTATGAACCTCTTTCAGATTTGCCCCTTTTTCAGGTTTGTCCTGTATTTCTTCCAAGAAAATACGGTCACTTTAAGGACAAATAGCCTAAAGGTTTTTGTAAATCTGGCGACCGCATCAAGGCCAGTCACATGACACTCCCCACGTGCTCGCAATGAATACAGCGGCAGACGAGCTGGAACTTCCAGAATTACAACACGGGAAGATTCTCCTCAAGCACAAAGCAAGAACGCTGACCACCGGCACGCGCCTGCGCGGTTTCCTGCCATGCTTCCCGGCCGTCAAAACCCCAGTGGGCGGGACTAAGCGTTATACTATAGGAGAGCACGTTGAGTGGTTTTCTACAAAGTCCTCAGGCTCTCAATGACAAAGCCCAGGGTCCTCCATGTTAGGGGTTCGATGCTGACAGCTTTTATTGGTTTTAGTAGTCACGCATCTTTCTGTTTAAAAAAAAATTAAAAGGCAATGGTTTTGGTCCTTACCATAAGCCATCCAGATAAATCTTTTCAAAAATTGCTGAAACGAAAAATATAGCTATCATTTAAAGACTCCTAGCTGAACCACGCGCTCTAATTGGAGCCCTCTCTACAGAAAACCTTCCTATTCTGTCACATGACTTTTAAAGGTACAGCAGCTTGCAACTAAGAAAATAAATGCGGGGGGCAGGGGAAGAGAGTTTGAGTCCCGAAAAAGTCATATGCACGCTTGTAACTCCTGCCTTCCGTGTGACTTTCAACCAATGTGGCCCATTGATAACCACGGATAGTAGCTTTCCTCAACCTGCTGCGCTTTACAAATCTGAGCTACTATTCCTTATGCCAGAAGTCCCTATGCCGCTAAAGAGCCGCAATTAGATAGCTACGCCTTCTTTCCCCACCATTCTTTCCTCTAGACTGCATTCCCACTACTTTTTTTTAAAGACTGTTCGACGCCTACGTCAGTTGGAGTCTCCTCCCCCTTCTTTCTCAGAGTGGCTGGGAGCTCGTTGGTGTGAAGCGCAGAACCTTCGGAAAGGCGCATGCGCGCTGATGGGTTGGATGTGTTTATGACCGGGAATGGCTAGTAAAGGGAGGAGGGGGTTAACGTGGTTTCTTGGCGGGGTTCGGGCAGTTGCGCGCACAGGTAAGTAGGTGGCGATGATGGGGAGGGGTATCGCGCCTTCGTCTCGCTGGTTTCCCCCAGAAGCCGCGATCGGCTCTCTCTTTGAGGGTGGGTGGTCGCTTCCCGGTGTAATAGCTGCGGCGCTCGAGGGGCACCTCCGGCTCTCTTTCAAATTGTTGAACCGACCGAACCTCTTTTGGGAACGATCTGTCTGAGCACCAATAAATCACGGAAAGGGATGGGGGGAGGGAGAGAGAGAACACCCTTAAAGTGATGGTGTCTGTTTTTGCTCCCATTGAAAAAACCCTTGAATGCCCGCGCTACTGCCTTAGAATTCCATCTGGACCACGGGATGGGATGGGGAAATTAGGGAAGAAAATGTAATATTTTGGAGCATAATAGGAAAGAAAGGTAGCAGTGTTAGCTAGGGCTGGCCGAGATGATAGCTGGAGTCCACTCCAAAATTTGTTTCTGGTGGCACTCCAGAGCTATTTGGGCTGAGGAAATTGTTTTCCCTTTGGATCTGCGCCTGAGGTTAACTGAAAGACGTGGATTTCTTGGGAGGAAGAGAAGAGGGGTCTACCGGATTTAAAAAAAAAATTTTTTTTAATCGTATTTGAGCGAGTTGGTTTCTGCCCTCTCAAACTGTGTGAGGATTTAGCGCTGGCACTTTGCCCTGGATGCGTGTGGTGACTTGAGGTTTCAGTTTTTAAGGCATATAGATTTTTACAATATGCTTTATAATAATGAAATGCAGTTTGTATGAATGTAATGCACTTTGAAAATGCAGGGGAAATGAAGCCAGTGGACATTTGCTTTCAGTTAAACAGAACTCCGGAGACATATTGTATTAAATATGATTTATTCTAGGCTATGTATTTTATTGTTTGTATTATTAATTGGTTTTCTTTTTAATTTTGTTTGCCACCCAGAGTCACTTGTTGAGATGGGTGGCCATACAAATTGAGTGAATGAATGAATGAATAAATGAATGAATGTTTAAGCAACCACTTCGATAAATTTTTCCCACTGTTAGTAACACTGACTCTGTTTCTTTTAATTATCTCTCAGTTCAACAAGTGTTGATACCTTCCTGCCTAGTCAGCTGAATGGTTTTGCAGTGTATGCCGATGTAGACACATAATGTCTTGCAACATTTTTTTTTTAAGTTATGAATGAATTCCAGTGACATATCGGAGCTACCAAATCTGGGCTGTAAAAAATCTGCATGGCCACTAAATGGCAGCTGTATCACATTTCTGCCATCCTACTGTTCTTTGGGGTTTTTGCAGCTTAGATCTGGCAGTCCTGTTTACAACCCAGGACTACATTCAGCTGAATGTAATAGTAATATTTTTCAAAGGGACATACATATCAGATTTCTGTACAAGCATGTGATTACTTAATTAGGTGAAAGCCAGCCTTGGACTACAAGACATGTTGACAAAGCCAGACTTCCATTTGCTTATGAAACTTCCTCACAGTGCATGTTTTCTTCTTCTTGCACCATAGAAGGAAATTAGTGGAAATGCTTTGCTTTTATCCAAAGTAGAAACAAAATTGGAGGAGATTATTATTCAACTGTTGATGGAAGATTGATTTCTGCCTGTGTTTTATATACTTACTAGTGTTGCCATATGGAAATTCTCTTTAAACTTCATGCTTCTTTGTTAGTTGGCTGACATTGAGACAAGCAGGCTTTTCCCGACAGTTTGATAAAATGAATAGTTCTCATCCTACCACTGATTTTTGTTTGAGGGAAAGCAGTCCTCTGCATATTAATTCACTAGTAAAATCTAAGTAAATATGCACAGGACTGCACTTTAATATGCATTCTGGACACCTTTAAATGAATAATGGAGAATCATTGTACTGTTTAATTATTAAACTTAGCAGCATATAGTTCAGTTTGATGCAGATAGTCTTTGCTTAGCGGCCACAGTTCGGACGGCAACTCCATCACTAAGCAAAGCAGTGGCTAAGTGAGAAATCAGTTGACCACACCTGTGCTTTCTTTTTCCCCATGGCCCCACCCTTTGGAATGCTCACCCCGGCACTTGGATAATTAGCAAGAAGGGAATTAATGTTTGTATTTACATTCATTGGAGAGGAAGGGATTACGAGAGTAAGCCCCCGGCACTTGGATAATTAGCAAGAAGGGAATTAATGTTTGTATTTACATTCATTGGAGAGGAAGGGATTACAAGAGAGTAAAACAGGCATACAATGGGGAATACAAGTCAAAAGCAATGCGGTGGTGCTGGCAGCTGTGAGTGTGCTACACAAACAGCCTGGTGTATTCCCCATTTTATGTCTGCTTACTCTCGTAATCCCTTCCTCTCCAAGGGACAGGGGACAGGTCAGGCAGAGGAGAGATTACCTACAGAAATAACTTTTTTTCTTTTCTTTTTTCCCCCTTGCTTGTTTATGTCTGTGGAAAGGTTGGAGAGGAAGGGATTACAAGAAAGTAAGCTGGTACACAATGAGGAATACACCAGACTGTTTGTTTGGCACACTCACAGCTGCCAGCACCACTGCATTGCTTTGGATGTGTATTCCCCATTTGCGTGCCTACTTACTCTCTTGTAATCCCTTCCTTTCCAAACTTTCCACTGTGCAAGGGGGCGGGGAGGAAGAAAACAGGTCAGGCACAGCACAATGTGTTCTGACTATAATGGCGGTCATATGACTGAGGGATGCTGCAAAGGTCGTAAATGCGGTCATTGGGCATACATATATTTTTTCAGCACTGTCATAACTTTGAATGGTCTCTGAATGATGCTTTCGCTAAGCAAGGACTGCCTGTACATGCTTTTCTTGGAAGCCTGTGGACTGGACAGTTGCGCAGCCTAGAAGTAGGGTAGCAGTTTCATGTAGTATTTTATCATGAACTTTGCTATCTACACATCAGTTTTATTTATGCTAAAAATTGTACTTCAAGATTTAGAACATTGAGATGCTTTGTATAAACTTTTTTGCTTTGCTTATTTTTCAGCACACACTTTTTAGGTTTCAATAATGTGACTACTGAGATCATCATGTCTGCTCTCTGTCCTCCTCCTTCTCCTGCCGTTGCCAAGACAGAAATTGCACTGAGTGGAGAATCACCATTACTGGCTGCCACATTTGCATACTGGGATAATATTCTTGGTCCCAGAGTCAGACATATTTGGGCTCCAAAAACAGAGCAACAGCTTCTCAGTGATGGAGAAATAACATTCCTTGCAAATCATACTCTCAATGGAGAAATACTTCGAAATGCAGAGAGTGGTGCAATAGATGTGAAATTTTTTGTTTTGTCTGAGAAAGGGGTCATTATTGTGTCCTTAATTTTTGATGGAAATTGGAATGGAGACAGAAGTACATATGGATTATCAATAATACTTCCACAGAGTGAGCTTAGTTTCTACCTTCCCCTGCACAGAGTGTGCGTTGATAGATTGACACACATTATAAGGAAAGGAAGGATATGGATGCATAAGGTAGGCTGTTTTTTCATTGTAATGACTTCTAAGCCTGTTAAAACAGTTTAGGTCACAAGATCCGTCTCTCCTCAGCTGTTAAATATTACACTTTCTAACAAATGGCAAACAAAACAGATTGAAGCTCTTCCTCATTTTGCTTTGGGTTTCCTGATATCCTCATCCATTCTAAAAGTAAGCATAATTTACTGATTCCAGCTTTAGTCAGACTTTGGTAAAACCATTGAAATCAGTGAAGCTTGTTTGTCATAATTAATTTAATCAGTATCCAACTGACCTTGGAAAAGTAAGCCAGGTCAGATCTGGTTAGGAGTTGGTGGAAGATAACCAGGAAATCACAGGACTGAAGGGTAGACTGGAAAAATGCATGAATAAGCCATGTTCGTGAAACCACTAGGAGCTGAGATTCTACTTTTAATTTTCATAGATTTATTCAAGTATGATTAATGTGGAACCAATTCAGGGTTTTAAAAGCTGAAATAATAACCCTTCAGGACATATCTAAGAATTCTTAGCCCATCTGTAACGGTCTGATATAGAATGATTGTGGGCTGGCCTCAGTTGTGTCATTTTTTAATTATTACTTTTTGAGGTTTTTTGCTTGATTTTGTACTAGTTGTAATAGTACAACTAGAGTTGCATTTGCAAGTTGGGCAGCCATGTAAATTGATGAAATAAATAATATGCTGTCATTCTGACAAAAAAAATTTAAAAAAATCATTACATATGCATAATTAATATGTACCACGTGATGTAATCTTGCTCAGAAATATATAGTTTCTAATAGCCAATATGAAAAGTGTTTTCCTCTGAAGGAGCTCCTCTTAGAAAAGAGGTAGTCAAGCTAGCGCTCATCAGATATTTTGGACTAGAACTCCCATAAGTCCCACCAAACATATGAAAGTCATTGTGGTAGTGTGATTAATCTGTTGGTCTAGGAGCAGAGAACTCTAGACTCTAGATCACCTTGAGCCACAGAACTGTATTTTTTTAGCCCAACCTACTTCACTGGGTTGTGATTGGGAAAAATAGGAGGATTCATGCCACGGTTTGCTCCTGGTTGTTAATAGCCCAGAACATCTGGAAGGTCACCCAGTTGCTCATTCCCAACTGACCATATAGCATAAACTTTTATTCAATAATATATAATAATTTTTTTTAAAATCCCACTGGTTTTTTTCATGTAGCATATATTAGCTTGTTAATTAAGAAAAACATTTATAGTTCCTGATTTTAACAAGGATTATTTATTTTGAAAGTATTAGAATGAGATTAACAAGATAAAGTGTAACTACAGTTTGAGGGAAATGTTTGATGACATAATTCTGAAGGGATTCTGGATTTTAATAATTTTGTGCTCAAATACAATTTAAATGTTTTGCAAAGTGAAGCAATTTGATAGAATAGATTAGAAAAAAAAATCTGAATGGGTTGTAGTTTCCCTTGAGTTTTATGGCTGAGCAAGAATCTGAAAACATATCTCCATGTCTGGTTTACCATGCATAATTTCACTTCATTGTGATCTGTTTCGAGTACAATGATAGATTAATTTTATACCTTTTTACAAAATCACATATACGTAATGTCAAAATTTGCATGCAATGTCTTTATTATTTGTGAAAAAAAAGTTTTCTGTTTTAGGAAAGACAAGAACATTTCCAGAAGTCTATTATGGAAGGTGCAGAAAGAGTGGAAGATCAAGTAAGAAAAAGACTCTGGCTCACCCTGATCTAGACGCATACTCAGTGTTTCAAATTTAAAGTTCCGTTTGCTCCTGTAGATTCTTCTGGAACTTTTGGATAAAAAAGTAATATGAAGTTATGTTAAAAAATCCAAATAAAGAATGTTTCCTTATTCTGTAATCGGTATTTTTGAGCAAAATGGAAATCTAAATACTTTTATATATTTATTCCACAGAAACAAGATGAATTGTGAGTGTCTTTAAAAGTGGTAATTTCCTGACAAAGTAGAACAATCTGTCAAAGTAGAAGATTTTACCATGTCATTCATCTATCAGAAAAAGAATTGCCAATGTGAATGTTGAATTATACTTAGCTGAAATTTATTACATTATATTTAACAAGAAATGAGGCCTAAAACTTTTATTTTTATAATCCGTTGACTGTAAAGTACAGTTATACATTAATTGCATTTGATTCTTTCAGTTTGCTTCGGTCCTAGATCAGACTTCTTCACACAAATTCAGTTTCATTAACCCACTGTTGTCAAATCTTATACAGTTTCAAACTCTTGATTTCTTATTTTTTTAATGATTATTTTGGAATAAAACTGAAAAATTAGTTTTCCCAAATTACCCGTAATTTCTCTTTTTTCTTCAAAAGCCATTCAGTCTCTTAATAGTCTTTTCCTACAATTTTGTTAAATTCAACTTCTTGTTTGATAAAACTTGTACTTATTCCACAGGGCCAGAGTATCATTCCAATGCTGACAGGGGAAGTTATTCCTGTAATGGAACTCCTGTCATCTATGAAATCACACAGTGTTCCAGAAGAAATAGATGTAAGTCTTTATATGAAATACACCATGAAAGGAGGAGAGCCAGTTTGGTGTAGTGGTTAAGACATCAGGCTAGAAACCAGGAGACCATGAGTTCTAGTCCCATCTTGGGCATGAAGCCAGCTAGGTGACCTTGGGCCAATCATTCCCTCTCAGCCCTGGGAAGGAGGCAATGGCAAACCACTTCCAAAAAAC